CCTTCCTTCTATCCCATCCTTCCCAGCTTCCTATCTTCTCACTCACCTACCCTTTCCTGCTCCATCTCCTTCCTTCTTTCCAATGAAGACCAAATATGCAATGATTTCTTTACTTCAACTAAAAAAAAAAAATCTTAATTCTTAGGGATTGAAAGATAATGGGACAGTAAGTTATTGTAAATTAATTATTTCAGCAAATATTTATGGCTAACATGATATATGCCAGGGATACTGAGATACTGAATGGCTGAAACTGATTCCTTGTCTGTCTGTCTGTCTGTCTCTTTCTCTCTACACACACTCACTCTCCATACCTCTCTCTGCCTCCAGCCTCCTTTAATTGTCCTCTTCTGGAGACACACTTCTTTGACTCCATTCTCTATTTTGAACTTTGGAATACCAAAAAATGTGCATCCAGCAATTGAAATACAAAAAAGGTATACATTAGTATCTACTAGTCACTCATAGGTGATTACTAAAGTTTCTTCAACTTCTAAAGCATTTTCTATGCCATATACATTAAGTTTCCCTCTAATCCAATCCTGATTTCATAGAACAATTAAGAGATTTAGTTATTCTTGCCAGAAATTGTCATTTTGAGTTTATTCTCTATATAGAGTAGGTCTGAGATTTACTTGGTGACATTCAATGGCCTTAAAGCTTATCAGAATTATTTTCCTTGCTCTACCATGTTAACAACACTTAACATTAGAGCAAAACTCTTGAACAGAGGTATTAAGATTATAATCAGCATCCTGTACTCCATTACCCCAGATTTGACCTTCTGTTAAAATATGCATATCATATTTTCGAAAACAAAATAGTGTGTATTGGATTTGTCAAATGAAATCTTTCCAACAAATTTGGCCATTTTATTAACATTTCACAGTTGAAAAAATTTTTAAGTTCTTAACCACCAAGTTAATATTTAACTGAATTCTAAGCAAGAACTGCTGGCCTATGAGAGCATCCCTGACACTCTGTAAATTAAGCTTTACTTAGTTGGTAATTATTTATGCAATTACCCCAAAGACAGCATCTCATTGGTGGTTCCAATCTACCAGTGACCATCTATCTCTTCTTATGCTATTTATAGCTTCCTGAAAACCCCATGGAGGGTCAGCAGCAAGTGAGTTGAAACACATTGGCCATGAGTGTGCAAGGTTCTTCATGGAAAAGTGTACTGTAAATAATTATAGAAAATTTAGATTCTCAATTAGATTGACATTAGAGAGTTGTAGGTGCAAAGTAGGGGCATAGGATTCAAAGAAGACATTAATATAAAAGCTATGGCTAAAATTAATTTGTTAAATTCCTAAATTTACTTAAGGTAACCATGGTCTCTAGTTTCTTAAATTTCAAAGAATTTTTCAAACTTCTTTAATAATATCTTTTAATTTATCTAACAGTGCTTTCAAAATGGAATCTGGTCATAACAAAGTGAAAAATTCTGGAAATGAGATTTTTAATCTTTCAAGCTTCTACAGTTACTTACGTAATGGTAAGAAAATAACATACAGACTTATATTCTACTACGTTTTATATTCTTATATAACATATTCTCCAATGTTAGGTATTGCATAATAGAACATAAAATAGTCTTTCTATTTATTAGACTTCATTCTCCAGTTTAGAATTATGAGTTTTTTTATATTTTATTTGTTGTTGTTTTTAAGCACCATTGAGTCGTAGGCAACTCATAGCGACCCTATGAACGAAAGTCCTCAACACTTTGTGTGACTTTCATCCTTTCTCCAGATTCATAGGGTTTCCGGAGGCAAGATATTATGGAAGTGGATGCCACTCCTGCTTCCAAGTTTGTTTTAATCGGGGAGCACCACCAAACACTGTCCACCATGGGTCACCATTATCACATTTGCCACATCACTGTCACAGTGTTCAGCTTCACAGCAACCACAAGTTACCTCTGTACAGCAAGGGAACACACTAGGGCTATATGACCTAGAAGAATGTTTGAGTAAAAACAGTGAAAAACAGGCCATTTATTATTTTTATTTAGTCTGTATTTATATAATGAGTCCTGTTGTTATAGAACCAAAGTTTCTAATCATAATGTCAGATTCAAACCCACTGGCCCCTCATCAGGAAACAGGTGAGCAGTATCCTCTTGCAAAAATTTACAGCCTCAGAAACCTGATGGAGCATGGCCACAAGCCAGAATTTATCCAAAGGCACTGGTTTCTGTTTATTATAGTTACAGGTTTATATTTTGCATCTATTCATCATTTTATGAATATTTTATTAAAATAAGCTATAATACATACAATGTGACTGATTCATCACATAATCTTAGAAGTGACTCAAAGGTCAAAACAAGTATTTGGATAGTAAATTATGGTCATGTATGATGTGTTGGTAAGTTTTTAACATCAAGATCTTTATACCAGTTTTAATTTCCTTGGGGTATAGTCCTAGCAGTGGGATAGCTGGGTCATAAGGAGTTTCTATTTTCAACTTTTTTTAGGAAATATCAAACTGTCTTTGAGAATGGTTGCACTACTTTAAAATCCCACCAACAGTGTATGAGAGTTCCCACCTCTTTACATCCTGTCCAACATGTATTGCTTGCTACTGTACTAAACTTTGCCACTGCTACTAGGGTTAGATGATATCTCATTGTAGTTTTGGTTTGAATATCTCTTATTGCCAGTGACTTTGAGCATTTCTTCATGTGTATCTTGGCTACCAGAATGTCTTCTTCTATGAAATGTCTTTTGCCCATTTTGTAATTGGGTTATCAATCTTTTCATTCCAGAGGTCCAGAAATATTCTGTAAAGTTTTGTTATGAGAGCCTTCTAGACTTGTCTGAGATGCTGTTGCCAAATGTTTGTTTCCAGTTGATAGGCTTTCTTTTCATTATGTTTGTATGCCAGTGTTCATAGTAACATTATTCGCCATCACAAGAACATGAAAACAGTCTAAATGTCCAACCACAACCAAATGTATTGAGAAATTGTGGAACATTCACACAGTGGAATACTATGTAGCACTGAGGAGCAACAATTTCCAGAAATACTACATAACTTGAGAGAGGCTGGCGAGCATTATGTTGAGTGAACTAACACAGTCTCATAAGGACAAATACTGCATAAGATCATTATTGCAAAAACAGAAGGATAACTAGTAGAACATGAATGGGAACCCAAGGTGGGTGGAGAGTGCTGAGGATGGGTAGGAGTGAAACCACAGAATTGCACAGTTTGTGGGGGTGGAAGGAAATGGGAAGGATCTGGATGAAAAGGCAGGCTAATGATGGGCAAGGTCAAACAGTGATTACTTTTATAAAACATAATGCATGAGAATGATTGCATGAAAATACAATGTGAATGAAGAGTAGTAGGAAACACAATGTATAAGAATTTTTAAAACTAACCAATAAAATAATTAAAAATCTTTATATCAAATAATTGCTAGCTAGAGGATTTCAGAAGGTATTATAGTGCTCTTTGAATTTATCTGAGTAAAATTGGGTGTTTGTATTTTCTTTTCATGTAAAATAGCTAAGTCATCTTCCAAGTCTGCTCCTCCTAATCTTCACTGTCTCAGTAATTGATAGTTGTAACCTTTTGTTTGCTCAGACCAAGGACTTTGGTGTAATTGTTACTTTCTCCTTTTCTCCCATCAGTTCTACTTTCACCAGGTATCCTAGAATTTGAGTAGTTCTCCCACTAACAGGACCATCTTCCTGGTGTGAACAACTATCTTTGCCTGGAAGACAACATTAGCCTCATAACAACCTTTCTTGACTCGTACACTAATACTGTGCTCACTTGCAACAAGAGTGATTTATTAAAAAATGAGACAGAACCTCACTCTTCTTTTTAAAACCTCCAATGGCTTTGTTTCACATGGAATAAAAGCTACCGCCTCCATATGGCCTATATGATATAGGAGTTGTCCACAGCAAGCGGCACTGCTAACACAAAGACTGAGCAATTCCAGCACTTGATATCTCTTCCCAGTTGCAGGTTAGAACCCATGGAGTGTTTCTATGAATCAGAACCGACTCAATGATAATAAGTTTGATTTTAAACCCAAATATGACAGCAAGTGGGAGAGCTGCTCCCTCTGCCTACAATGCTCTTTCGTCATATCCTTTGGTCCCTCTTCCCCTAAACTTAACTCTCTTTTCCATTGTCATTAAGTCAGTTCTGACTCATAGTTGATCCTCCAAAGAGTTTCTAAAGCTGTAAACTGCATGCAAGGAGACTGCCCATGTTTCTCTTGTGCCACAGTTGGTGGATTGGAACCACTTGAAAATTGCAACTTTTGGCTTAGCAGTGCAATTCTCAACAGATTATGCCTTCAGTCCCTACAAATCCTTCAAATGTCACATTCAATTGAAGATGCTTTCCCACCTTTTGAGCACGCTTTATCCCCTTGCTGTTTCTGTTTGCCATAACCCTTTTCACTGTCTGACATACTATCTATCGTTTTGCCATTTGTCATCTGCCTCCTGCTACTAAATTACATGGTTTGCTTGTTTTGTATTGTGTTCTGGAAGTCTTATCTACTTGCATCTCCCAGTTCTTAGAACTGGGCCTGGAAGAATGTGAATAAATATTTTCTGAATGTTTATGGACAAATGAATAAATATATAAATTAGGACACAAACCATCCTCCATATCCTACCTGTATATCTAGTGCGTTACTCTAAATAGTATATATAAATCTGGATAGTGTGGGCATATAATTGTAGGCTGCAAATACATACAAAATAAGTGACTCATTGAATTTTCTTAAGTCTCTCTCTGTGACTAGAACCCTAGTCTTGGAAACAGAGGAAATAGATCGCTGAGGTTCAAGATTCAACTCTGTCACTTACTAGTTATGTAACAGTGGGTAAGATTTTACTCTTTAAAATCTCATTTACCATAGTTGTTAAATGAAAATAAAATCATAGACTTGATGTTGCCCTCAAAGTTTGTGGAGTGTATGATGAAATAACTTAACAGTTGTACATGTTGTTATTGTTAGATGCTATTGAGTCAAATAATTAGGAAAGGTGTGTGTCAGGGTGGTGTCCCTTCTCCACACCTATTTAATCTATATGCTGAGCAATTTCCTTGAGGAGCTGGACTCTTTAAAGAAGCCTTTGACATCACGATTGTAGGAAGACTCATCAATAGCCTGCATTATGCACGTGACACAACCTTGCTTGCTGAAAATGTGGAGGATTTGAAGCACTTAGCACAAAAGATCAAAGACTGCGGCTTTCAATATGGATTGCATCTCAATGTCAAGAAAAGAAAAATTCTCACCACTGGACCAATAAGCAACATCATGATAGATGGAGAAAAGATTGAAACTGTTAATGAATGACTTCATCTTACTTTGAACCACCTTCAATATACTTGATACCAGAAGTCAAGAGATTAAGAGATATAATGCACTGGGAAAGTGTGTAATCAGGGCCTCTCCAAATTACTGAAGAGCAATGATGTGAGTCTGAAGACTCAGGTATGCCTGCTTCAGGCCACAGTCTTTTTAGTCACTTGCTATGTATCAGAGAACTGGACAATGAATAAGGAAGACAGAAGACGAATTGATGCCTTTGAACTGTGATGTTGGAGAAGAATGCTGAAGATCCCATTGGCTGCCAAAAGAATGAATGTCTTGGAAAAGTTACGGCCAGAGGCCTTCTTGGAGGCAAAGATAATAACATTTCATTTGATATACCTTGGGCATGTTTCCTGGGAAGGCTAATTCTTCGAGAGTTGCATCATGCTTGAAAAGGCTGGTGAAAATTAGGGGGAAGACCTTCAACTAGGATTTTAATATAATGACTGCTACAATGGGTTTGAGTGTGTCAGAGATTGTGAGGATGGCACAGGATAGGACAAGGTTCAGATTTGTTGTTCATATGGTTGCTATGAGTCCTGTTCCACTCAGTGACACCTAACAACAACAACATTGATTTGAGTACAATTCAGTGATTCTGTGAATTACAGATCTGAACCCCACCCTATCCTTTGCCATCCTGATAATCATCTCTGACCTATTTGAACCCATTGCTGCAGTCACTGTGTCAATTCATCTTGTTGAGGGTCCTTCTCTTTCTCCTCAACTCTCCACCTTTCCAAGCATAATTTACTTCTATAGGAAATAGCCTCTCCTGACAACATGTGCAAATTATGGAAGTTAAAGCTTTGTCATCCTTGCCTCCAAGGAGAATTATGGCTGCATTTTCTTCAAGATATATGTTTGTTCTTTTGGTACTTCATGGCTTATTAAATAGTCTTCTCTAACCCTACAACTCAAAAGCATCAATTCTTCTGGCATCCTTATTGAGTGTCTAGCTTTTAGATGCATAGCCAGTGATTAAAAAGACTGTGACCTGCATCAGGTGCACCTTAGTCTACAAACCGACATCATTGCTACATAGTAATGTGGAGAGGTCGTGGAGAGGTCCCTGACAGCAGATGTGGCCAATACAGCACTACATCTCCTGATCTCCTGTCTACTGGTACCAACGGTGT